TTTAAGTGGTCAGAGGACTGTGACATCTGCATACAGTCACGTCTAAATTGATAATTGTCCAAGTGGAGTATAATTTTAAACCATAGCATCAAGAAAGTTGCATCTGTATATTAGAAGGTTGTTGAGAGGTGGTGTTTCCCACCTCCTGGGCCCCTGAATTTAAATGTGACCGCGCTCTCTGGTGGATTTATCTTAAGGTGGGAGAACAGCGTCCACCCAGGCTGAAGCAGTCTCAGTGAGGAGGAGGCTGTGGTTTCCCAGCCAACTTAAATGCAGGCTCTTCTTAGCAGTAAACCACACACATGTATTCATCATTGATTTCCAAATGATAGGTTTCAATATCACTGGTCTAGGGTCTACAGTCTCACATTCCTGAATCTATATTATGCCAAAAGAATAACAATTTGGTGGCTGGAAACAGAAATGGTTATTATACGGCTCCAAAATGCTAGCTGGCACAATATGCTTAAAATAGCAGAAATTTACTCATAAAAAATAGAATTTATTTGTTCATAAAAATAACTTTATGCTCTAAAAATATAAATGTTAAAAAATGTCATCATAGCTGAAAATATTTTACATTCAGTATGTAAACACCTTAAAAGTATGTAACTAATCTTCTAAAGTGGTGTAATTTCCAAATAACAGGAAATATTTCAAGAGAGAGACATGGAACCCTTTTTAATTCAGTTTTTTACTTCTGAGGTGTTTACTGAGTGAAAACTCATTGTATGTATGTTTCCTTTTTCTCCCTCTCCCTACTGCTGCCTCAAATCGCTGTTTTAAAATGTGGGCAGAGAGACCTCGGCTTTTTTGAAACGTCTCTTTTTGAAGAGACTTTTCACAGCCTCTGTGAAGCCTTTCCATTTTCTCACACTGGCCCCATGCCTGTCCTATCTCAGGACAGCACATTTCTCGAAGCGGTTTTACTTCCTTTTAGCAGAATTATGCCTCCATGCAAACCAGCATCGGCTTCTACCCAGGCAGGGCTTCAGTCTCTTCCCAGCTGCTAGGCTTCACTGCACTGCTTAACTGACATTTCTTCTTCTTCTTCTTTTGAAATTACTAGGCTAGTTTTCCATTTGATTGTTTATGTAAACCAGATCTCACCCAGGGTTGACATGTACATGACACATGTCACTCGGTACGCCTGTCTGAGCTGCAGCAGGTGGGAATGTGGGCTGCAAACGTCTTGGTTTTCTCCTTTCCCTTTCATTCAGGAGATTCTACAATTCAGTGTAAGGCCCTAACACAGAATAATGATCCGGGGGGACACATTCAATACAAAACTGCTCTGAGTATCCTCACTCACCCATCTTTTTTCTTAGGAATATAATTTGTTTATATTTCTCCTTGTGAGAAAAGGTAAACGTGTTGTTTTGGTTAAGAACTTTTTTTTTTACTACCAAACGCTGTCCAAATTAACTGTAACGGATAATTGGGTTTTGACATATTTAGCTAGCTATAATTTAGCAACTTTTCTTGATGGTTTATTATAGAAGACTAATTTATATTCAAATTCAGTGCAAATTTCTTAAGCAACTACTTTGTAGTTGACACATGTATTGGGGGTGTTTCATTTGTTTTATTTTAGTTTTGCCTCAAGAAACTTGTTAATTTTTATCCATAATCCAATTGCAAGATTGAATCTTGCAGTTTTTAATATGTTCAGCTTATTTATTGATTCATGAAACAAAACAGGTAAATGAATTGGATATGAAGAACAAATGTGTTTTGGATCAGATGCTCCAAGTGGATTTTAATCTAAAAAGTGTTCCCAGGGGAGACAGTGTGGGAAGTAAGGAGCCAGCATGAAGTGGAAGAGAGAGATGCGAGAGGGTGAATAGGTCAAAGTATATTGTATACATGTGTGAACATGTCATAATGAAACCATTACTTTGTAAAATTAATATTCACTTAGCAAAAGGTTCTTACACGTGTCTTCCTGAAACAGGGCTTTCTCTTCCCACCTCCTTGTCTCTACCTGAAGCCATTGCCATGGTCTCAAGAATGATCCACACAACTGGGCTTCCCCAAGTCCAGGCTTTCCAGTGCCTGGAGATATCCGACCACTCTATCTGATCAGTTCTATCTCTATTCTAAAACTCTGGGTGGTCTCTGTTTCTACCACGTTCACAGATCAACCTCCATAATCCTCCACAGAGCACTCCTTTTTCCGTTGGCTCCTTTTTAAGCAGATTCCTCTCTGTTTTCCTAAGGATGCTGGGTAAAATCCTTCCTCAGCCCTCTCCCTTCCCAGTCACCCAAATCACAGGCTTAACTACCTCCTCTCTTTTGTTGAAAAGCAAATTAGTTCCTGAACCTGCATTATGTAATCTCTTCTCCCATAGAAGGTGGATAATGTATAATGTATATTATTCTACAAGCGTCTTGCCCTGGGCAGTCTTGTTTGTTTGTACACAAGTGTGGATTGCTTTATTACAAAGGAATTCAGAGCCTTCCAAGGCTGTAGCCTTGTCTCTGCCACCTCACTGAGTAGCACCTGGTCTTATCCTCCTAAGAGTAAGTCTTTTGTGCAGACGACAATAACAACCAAGTTTAATGTCGCTCAGAAAACAACTAGCTGGTTTTCCAGGGACCATTATAGAATACTGCAGTGGGTTTCTCCTGTTCTCCATCAAGAAACCAGCAGACAGCTTTGTGAGTCATCTCTTACTCCAGTTCAGGTTGCCTTTCCACCCAGCTCCTTAGCTGTTTCTATCGGGGTAGTGTATTTTAGACATGGGAAACGTAAGCTTTGAAATGCCCACTTCGTTAGTAGGGAGCTAAATATCAGACCCTAAAAGAGCCCTAAGCCTTCACAATTAGTGTCTTTCCCTGTGTCTGAATGACTCAGCACTTCACTGGGGGCGTCATAGCTGCGGTGCCCGAGGACTGTCACTTTTGAAGATTTTCATGAGCAGAAAATCGCGCCAGGCTTCAGGCTGTGTGCTGAGAAGGGTAAGCCAGATACAAGGGAGGCCATGGCAAGCATTCACCTAGAGCCAAGGAGACTGAACAGCAAAACGTGGATGCAGCCTCCCCTCCCCCGGCCTGCCCTAGAAATTACAGCCTTGCTGCCTTGTCCCTTCTTCATCGAAGGATGCACAGACACACAGAATAAAACCCAAACCAACAAACTGAAAGAGTGAGTCACTCCGGCCCGCCTCCACCAAGCTCGTCAATTAAAGTGCAGGACCAATTCTGTGCTTTTCTTAGATCCTGAACTGGCTGTCTGACTTTCTTCCGGGGGAGAAAAACTTAATAGGAAAAAAAAAACATATGATATGCAGATTTCTGATCAAGTTAACAAAGATTCGCTCTCTTCTCACAGAAAAAGTTTTTAATATTCTTTCAGAGGTATATGAAACAATTAACTGGGTTGCTGCCTGTCACGCAGAGGGTAAATCAGTCAGCCTATGAGCTTTCATGTGTTCCTAGCAATATCTCACCGTTAAGCGTTCCCTTTTCTTCTCTTCCAGGCTGTTCTTTCAAAGCATGCTCAAATCTAGATTCCTCCATGAGTTCTGTCACTGTTTTGTATTAACAGGGAATGGATATGGCAACCCCCGAAACTCACCAGGTCTGCTGGTCTCACCTGGTAACTTGAACAAGAATATCCAAGCCAAATCTCCTCCCCCTATGAATCTAGGGATGAATAATCGGAAGCCAGATCTCCGAGTTCTTATTCCACCAGGCAGCAAGAACACCATGCCATCAGTGGTAATGCCCAACTTCTGTCCTTAATACGTGTTGATGAGAGCTTGTCTGGATGTGCTTTGCTGTTTTAGTGTTTGTTGACACAGGAATTTCTTATGTCACCCCAGAAAATTAACACTATTGGTGAATGGCGTTTTTAATCCTATTGATGGGGCTGATTTTGCATTTTCCTTTTCTATATTAAAAGAAATCCAATAAACTCTTCTTCAGGGTTGTTTTTCTGGGATATGAAAAAGCAGTTCTTCCTAAGGCTCTAAGTTTATGGTTAGAAAAGCAGTTCTACTGCGGATCAGATCATAGCCCATAGGAAGAGTAATTATGAAGAGCTCCATGAAAGTAGTTACACATTGTTGAACTGTTTGTGTTCTCGGGATGCTGACAGTGAAAAACGCTTTCCCTGATTCCTAAATGAAATGTCTTACATTAATTGGAAATCTCCTTCTTATGTATCACTTTTTTAATATCTAATATACCATATGCCTTTGCATTGTCTCAGCTCATCTTTGCCTTTACATACTTAATGAAAATTACAAACTCCCCCAAGCAAGCTGTGTTAAAACCCAAGAAAATCTGAGAACCAATGTTACATTTTCGATCAAAAGATGTTGTGACGTGCTTTTAAGGGAAAATATAGAAATATAAAATATAGACTTAAGCATATATAAAATTCACATGCTGTACCATTTCTTGCTCATGAGACTCATGCCTAAGATGGAAAGAATATTGTGGTATCAACCTCAAAAACAAAGTAGATAGACAGACAGATAGATAGATAGATAGACAGATGACAAATAGAGTGTTCCCCAAATCAGCAGTGCTTACCAGTGAGAACATTTATAACAAAGATTTAGTCGACAGATTTAAATTATTCTACAAATATTTCTTTCTTTCTGTTTTTTAGAATGCTCTGCTCTGTGGCATGCTTAGGAGTAAAATAGTCCTGTGGACTGATTAGTTTATTATTATATTCATTTTGAGTATCTAGCCAAAATCAAATAATATGTAACATTCCCTTTAGAAAAGACTGGATCTAATAAATAAAACCTCCCACGGTGATACAGTCGATGAGGGCCAGGCATGGCAAGCAGTGTCTCTCAGCAGATTTATCCCACATCCCTTAAAACTGGTGCATTCCCAAAGATTCTGCAATTGGCAGGTCATATCTCTCCCTGGTTATCAGGTGTGGCCCCCTCCCTTCCCTCTGGCAAATAGGTTTAAAGTACAGTCCTTTTCTTTACGTCAGAATTTGGTGGTGAAATAATGAACATGGAGACACTGACCTGTGCTGAAACCCAGACAGACTGCCTTCCCATTCGAGACCGGCATCTCACTAAGGGAAACAAAGAATGCCTTTGTTAGGAGTTGTCTTTGGAGTGTGGTGTGTAAAACCGCTTAAATTGTTGTGTCTATCAAGGGGTGCTTCTCGTTTTGTTGAAAAGATTTTCACAGTTATAAATATTTACAGACACTAATTAATAAACTCCTTCCCCATGCTCTCAGTCTGAGGATGTGGACCTGCTGTTGGTAAGTGGTACGAATGTTTCCCTTGGAGGGCACCGTTCAGGAGGATAACAAAACTACTTCAGTGTAAGGTGCTAGCTGTGTTCAAATGGACAGATTTTAAAATTTACCTTACTGAATGACGATATTGATTATACTTAAGCATCATTAGTTTCTAGGGTCACTGACTGGTGAAAAAGATCGTCTGGTTCTTGTAGGCCTTTTTCCCCTATCCCTACCTTTTAACTAGAGGCCAATTTTTAAATGTTTTAAGACTGAACTTTCTCTAAAATCCAAACGCAAAAAAATATTTCTTTAGTTATGGAGCAGTAAAATGCTTATTTTTCAAGATTTAAAATACCATTATTCTAAGCGAATGCATCTTTTCACCTCCTTGTTGTAAGGAGTTAATTACTGGCTTTAGCTACTTTGCCATCTTTTTGAGGAAGTTTAGAAGCTGAAGAAAGTGGTCAGAGCACCACCTGCTGGTCAGAATCTGGCATAACCCCCCCATCTCTGTCAGCTCGGCTGCGTATAGAACTAACTGATCATAAAACCCACCGTGGTTGATTTTAATTTTTTAATTTGCATTTGAATAAAAACTGAAACAATAGCAGTACAGTATACATATTTCATCAGTTCTCAACATAGTCTGTTTTTACCCATAATAAAGCTATGGTACTTGTTACTAGTTCAGTTGCCTAGGAGATACTGATGTAATGGGTTACTATGGCAACAGCTGGTCTCTTGAAGGATTGTAAATGATAGGGTTGGCAGAGTTCATAGAGACACATGTTAAATGATTAATTTCATGAGCTTTGTACCAACTTACTTCTTTATGTGAAAAACTAATAGTGAGACCTAATATTTTTAACTTTTTAAAATCTGCCATCAATAATGTCCTTTTATTTACTTTAAAAGAATCAAAGGATAAATAACTCCCAGTCGGCTCAGTCATTGGCTACCCCAGTGGTTTCCGTAGCAACTCCTACTTTACCAGGACAAGGAATGGGAGGATATCCATCAGCCATTTCAACAACATATGGTACTGGTGAGTAGCTTTGCTATGTGCAAATATTACAGTAAACACTTCTTTAAAAAGCATATTTTAAAAGTTATGTTCTTTACCCTGTAGGGAGCTTGTGTGGTGCCTGTGTCCAAAATGCACTGTACCATTACTTATGCTTTCCTAAGGCAAAGTGATTGTCTACAGTGCTCTTTTCTAAGTGCCTGGAAGTTTTATTTACCCAAAGTGAGTTCAAAATGTCAAGGACATTGAGCTACTATTTCTTTAGTGTAATAAAAAGCTCACTTTATTGAGATTTTTAAATGAGAAAAAAATTCTAGACCATAAAACATGTGCATACTTTACACTTTTAAACAAAGTTATGTAATAAGCTATAATTGCAGGATCTATTACTTTAAACCTTTTGTGAAATCCTTACTTGGGTGAATAAAATTCTTCTTTTTAAATTAAAATTATCCCTGGTGTTTTATTTTCTTCTTTTCTCAAATCAAAACCTTTGACTCGATGATGTTTTTTAATTGAAAATGTTTAATTTTGTTTGCCATTGGACAGTTTTCAAACTAAGTGTTTCTCCTTGCTCTCCTCTTCATCCCTTCCTCTAGAGTACTCCCTGAGCAGTGCAGACCTGTCGTCTCTCTCTGGCTTCAACACTGCCAGTGCTCTTCACCTTGGCTCAGTAACTGGCTGGCAGCAGCAGCACCTACATAGCATGCCACCATCTGCCCTCAGTCAGTTGGGGTAAGCAATATTTATGTCTTTCTATCCTAACCAGAGACGGTGTTTTTAAATGATGAAGGCCTGTCTTTAACAATGTGCTTTCATATCCACTAAAGGGCATAGAATTGAACCTCTGTGAAAGACACTTTCAGATCACATGTTTCAAGTAGCTTAGATATCACTTCACATGGTTTTTACATGAATGTGAAGCACTAATATTTAGGTACAGTCTTTCCTTCATGCGTGAGACTCTGTTTCCTTCTAACGTTCTGTCAGTGAGATGGAGGTTTGGATTAGATTTCTGCAGGGTTAGGTTTTTTTTGGAAATTTTGAAAGTATTTATAGTTATGATTCTTTACATTTTTTTGAGCTGAGCTTCTCACTTAGCACAAACTACATAATTTCCTCTAATATGAACCTAATGTTCATAGCATCAACTGTTGAATTTCTATATAGGCTTTAAATATGTATAATGTATTCATAGTATAGTTGTCTAGTTATATCCATTGTATTAAAATATATGCGCAAATACTAATTAACACATGCAATACTAATTACTGAATTTGAGTATAAAAATAACTTTTGTTGTTTTCTGGTCAAAGTATGTATCTTTCTGCCCCCTTGTGGTAGCTTTGAGATGCATCTTTGTCATAGAAATGACTTCTGTCATTTATCTATGGAGAAACTCAAACTCTAAAATGCTCTGAATCCACAATTTACACTCTATCTTGTAGCAATTAAACCAGGCACGGCATTTTAATTTGAAATAATAATTACAGAATTCAGTTAGTCTTAGAAAACAAATAGGACATAACTACTTAAAGATGAATTTTTATATTTTAGAAACATCCTACATACCCATCCCACTTTTGGTTTTCTATTGAGCTATTTTAGTTACAAATTAGTAATATTATTTAACTAGTTTTGTATCTGAATGCCTAGGAAGGTCTATTGATTCAAATACAAGTCATTAATTAGTACTATGACTTCATTGTTCCTGCCTTCTCCTCTCCCCTCCCCCACTGCACTTCATTTGGGATTGATGTAACATAGATCAGAGTTCTAATATACCATTCAAGAGTCGCTTGCTGTGGCTGTACCACAGACAAATCACTGTCACTGAAAATATACCCTTCATGTGCACAATAAGACAAATTCACATGGCATTATGGCTATGCTTTCTTGAAAGGGTGCTGCCATTAAAGATGTATGAAATGTTGGTCAACAGTGTTCTTCTTAAGACATTTAAACTTTCCCTCCAGCACTAATTATCTAGGTAGATTCTAGATGCAATAGCTTTTTCTGGAAATTATCACTAAGTACATAATACTACCCAGACAATTTTACATATACATACATACACAGCGTTGTACTGACCTACTTGTCAACAATAAGGGGAACTGTTCATTTCTAATGTTTCACAGAATTCACCCATCATAACACTAAATTCCATCCCCAGCCCCATGTCAGAAAGCCACATGACCAGCCAGATGTCTCAGTGGGTAAAGGTGCTTGTCACCAAACCTCCTTAGCAGCCTTGACAGCCCGACTTTGGTGGCTGGGACTCGCGTGGAGAAAGAGAATCAACTGTTGTGGGTGGACCCGCGCTTGCACCCACATACACAGAACAAACAAATACGTAACACAAGATGTCATGTCATTTCATTTGAATGCCGTTCTTCTGCTTATAAATGATGCCAGATCATTTTTAATTATGAGGGTATACACATATTTGTTATTTTGACCACACACACAATTTAAAGACCTATCACATGGGGAAAACATAATTCTCTACTACCCTTGAGCGAGAAGGGAATGAGTGGTACCCCAAGAATAAAGGAAAACCGAGTTCCATCAGCCAAGGATCCCCCTTTTTCTTTCAAAACCAAATCTTCTTGTGCAAAATATTTGAATTTAGTCTATGAACTGCAGTTGTACTTAGTCATTCCCAGACCTCTCACATTGATAGACTGAACAAGCCTATACAGCTCCACAGTCAGCACCAGCACCTGCCCCTCCCTCCTCCTCTGTCCCCTATACCACCTCCTCCTCCTCTGTCCCCTATACCACCTCCTCCTCCTCTGTCCCCTATACCACCTCCTCCTCCTCTGTCACCTACACCACCTCCCTCCTCCTCTGTCCCCTATACCACCTCCCTCCTCCTCTGTCCCCTATACCACCTCCTCCTCCTCTGTCCCCTATACCACGTCCTCCTCCTCTGTCCCCTATACCACCTCCTCCTCCTCTGTCCCCTATCCCACCTCCTCCTCCTCTGTCCCCTACACCACCTCCTCCTCCTCTGTCCCCTATACCACCTCCTCCTCCTCTGTCCCCTATACCACCTCCTCCTCCTCTGTCCCCTACACCACCTCCTCCTCCTCTGTCCCCTATACCACCTCCCTCCTCCTCTCTCACAGCAGCTGTTTATAAGGTATCTTCAGATAAGCTACCTCATCCCCAACTTATAACTTGTATGTAAAATTAAGTATATGGACTGCCTTAATTCCTTACAACAACGGTTCTCAACCTGTGGGTTGAAACTCCTTTGGGGGGTCGTGTATCAGATATCCCGCATATCATCTATTTACATCATGATTCATACCCATAGCAAAATTACCATTTTGAAGTAGCAATGAAAGAATGTTATGACTGGGGTCACCACAACATGAAGAACCGTATTAAAGAGTTGCAGCATTAGGGAGGTTGAGAACCCCTTGCCTTAGAGAATGAATCAGGTAAAAGGATCCGTATGTTTTCCAAGTCAAAGGGTCTCACAGATTTGTGCTTAGAGCTCTTTTTTTTTTTTTTTTTTAGGTAGATACTGTATTTTAAGCACAGAATGGGATAGATTTTTAGCTCTACCAAAGTCGACTTCCAGAATTCTAAAACGACTACTGGAATTCTCTCAAAATAATGACATATAATAGAACTCTTCCTATTTGTCCATGAAAACAAAGGTGTCCACTTGGTCCCTTCCAGCAGCGTCTGCAAGGCCAGGCTTGAGACACTATGTGGTGTCTATTTTGTATAACAAAGTTAGACAAGAAGCATACACTAATGGTATGTAGGAAGAGACATTCCTGGTGAAGGGACTCACCATTTTAGAGACACAGCCCTTGACCTTTAGGCCCTCTTTTGATTGCTGGCTAGAAAATGACAACCTGTTTTCTGTAAGTCTGCCCACTCTCTTTGTTGATGAGAGTACTCAATACATGCCGAAAGAGGGAGAGAGAAAGATTAGTCAGACAGAGATTACTTTTAAAAGTTAGGCTCCATGGGCTGTGTGTGGTTCCAGTCTTATTCTGCTCTATATAGTAAGTTCCAGGTCAGTCAGAGTTACAGAGTGAAACCCAGCCTCCAGGGGCAAGAAAAGGTGAGGCTCAGAGACTGGAGAGATGATGGCTTAGCAGCTCAAAGTGTGGCTGGTCATGCAGAAGACCCAGGACACTCAAGTCAGGTGTTCACAACTACCTGTAAGGCTAGCTCCAGAAAATCCAATGTCCTCTTCTTGCCCCACTCCGCAGGAACCTGCAACACACATGCACAGACTCACACAGAGACATACACATACACACATAAATAAAAATAAAAGGAATCTTTAAAAAAAAATCAGGCTCAGATGAGCCTGACGGGCACAATGATTCCAGCATCTAGGAGACCAAGACACGAGGATTAAAAGTTTGAGGCCAGCCTGGCATACCAAATGAGACTCTATTTCACAGAGGGGAAAAAAGGTAAATGTAGTAGGGAAACCTAATTTTCTCGAGGTGATAGAGTAAGAGGAACTTACATAAAACTATCCATATTTTATTTCTGAATGATTTGGAGGAAGAGTAGTTTTCTCAGCTTAAAACCCCTGTGTAGTGGATTGGAGCTAGCAAAGAGGACCTGAAAAGGTACCCTACACACCTGATCCCTCCCCGCCCCTCCTCCTGCCTTAATTCCTTAGAACAACGGTTCTCAACCTGTGGGTTGAAACTCCTTTGGGGGGTCGTGTATCAGATATCCCGCATATCATATATTTACATTATGATTCATACCCTTTCTCACCCACTCACACCTGTAGCATCTCACAATTGTCTATGGCTGTATTTTGTTCTCAAGAACAGACTAGCATATGTACAGCTGAATGATGTGAATGCTGTTATTTCTTGTGGAGAAAGCCCTCCTTTGACGGCAGAGATTAGCCGCTCCATGTTGTGTCCTGTGCTCCAGGGAAATGAAGCGGAGACTAAGAGACCATTTATATCCCTTTCCTGTAGAGTCAGTCCCCACAACTACACAGCTCAGAACAAGCTTGTGCATACATTTAGTGGCAAAGGAAATCCCACCACCAGATAAGTGGTTCCAGTTAGAGAAAAGAATCACCAAAAGCTGTTCCGTCTTTTGTGAGGAACAAGATGCAGCTAAACTTCTACGTGGCCATTGATATTGGGAACTGAGGCAAATAAAAGGGTAGTTCATCTTTCAGATGACATTAAAGAAACATCATTTTGCTCATACTACTTTGAATTTAATTTATGTGGATAAGTTACCCATACGACCCAACTCACCAAGTTTTTAGAAATTTCCCGTTCTGCTATGTTTAGAGAAATGCAGGTTAAATGTCAAAGAATGAGGAAAAGTATTTATTGATGTGTCATTTCCAGGCTCCTAATTGACATTCATTATTAAGCACTTGTATGATCCATAGCAGAAGCATTTAATTAAACATTAGTGAAATGGTTTTTCTTACCCAGAGCCAGGAAAACTCTTTCTTCCAGAAATCAAAAGAGGATTTCCTCAAACATCAAAATGAATCATTAAGTAACTTTGAACCAGTATAAAATTGTCAACCATTATGGAGCCTTTGAAATACAGGTGTTTTCCTGCCCCCATCTCAATATATTCTTGATTTAAAGATGATTTAATTAAAAGTCTTAGAAAATTAGAGAATTAATACAAACTAAAATAACAAGCTTCAGATAAATAGTTCCATGAATAAACTGAGATTGAAAACCATGTGCACTGGGATTGGGATCTTGGTCTGAGTGGTCGGAGGGCCAAAGAAAGAAGGGCTGATTAAAGCAGCAGAGAATTCTCTTTATGTTGTCCTCCATGTTAGCTCATCTATTAATAAGAGGAAAGTAATTCCTTGCCAGTAGGTGGTGCTTTTGTATAAAACATTACTCAATGATAAACTCGTTTCTAACTAATTTTATATCTCTGTGCATCCTAAACCCATACCACATCTCCCGAAAGGCCAGCCCTGAGTTATTCCAGTTTTCTCTGAAATATACTCACATTGTTTCCCTGCTCAGAAAGACACATCTATTTCTCCCCATTAGGAAGCAGTATGCTTACATACATGAATAGGTAGGCTTCCTTTCTTTTGTTTAAAATCCGTGTGTCTGTGCAGATAATTATTTTCTGTGAATACCCCTCAGTTAAAGCGACTGCTGTACTCTCTCGACAGTGTAGTTGGGTCACCTTGGCTCTGACTGTGGATGTCAATGCAATCAGAAGGCAGGAACAAGAACACAGACATCTTAAAGTTGATGCAAGGTGACCACAGTTTGCCCTGATCCAAGTCAGTGATTGCCAAGCTCTACTTAAAGGCTTAATGCTTCTCTCTCCAGAATATCATGTCTAAAGTCTCTCAGGAAACACCCTTTGGAAATCAGTAAGGATTAGTATCATAGTAATAGCACACTCCCATTCCTTAAGAAACAACAGATTCACCAAATAATATTAGTTATAAATAAAAGGAGCGGCCCTAAGTACTCCATCATTACTACTGCTTAGCCAGAGTAAAGTTAGAGGAATCAGGACTACAGACAAGATTTTCATCCCAGACAACTGCAAAAGATAAGATAGTCCAGTTAGGCATCAGTTTCAGTGAGATGTTTTTAAAACAGTATTTAAATTTTTTGTAGATAATATTCAGTCCTTTTCCCCTCCTTTGCCCTCCCAAGCTTTACATGAGATATATATTTATTCTATAACATCTGTTATGTTCTATTCATTTGAAATTCAAACTGTTCACTTTCCCTTAGTACTGTATAACTCCACTTGTATGGGAATATTAATTGAAAGGAGAGAGAGCTTATATCAATATCAGTTTTTCAAAACAACACAGGCATTAGTAAACCAAGAGGGCCTGGTTCAAAACCAAGCACCATCCCCCAGGGCTTAGAAAATGAAAGATTGGAAATCATACAGAGAAAATTCCATGAAGACAGAATGACTCTTGTATCATGTCTTAAACCTTTATGAAAAGGCAGTCTATATGGTTTCAGTCTCTTAGGGGCGACAGAGAATTCATGAGGCCTGGGCCAGTTAAGTAGAGTGTTAACCACTAGGCAGAGGCTTTCTCAACTGCTCTAGGCAGCGACAGCCCTCAGTGCCGAACTGCGCTTCTCACTCTGGGCGTGCCCTGGAGTGTATGCACGTCGTTAAGCTGATATGTTTGTAATGTGAGTTCCTGGGGCCTGCAGGCCTCCTCCATCTGTAACTGGGTTTCCTTTCCTCCTACAGAGCTTGCACTAGCACTCATTTATCTCAGAGTTCAAATCTCTCCCTGCCTTCTACTCAAAGCCTCAACATCAAGTCAGAACCTGTTTCTCCTCCTAGAGACCGTACCACCACCCCTTCGAGATACCCACAACACACGCGCCACGAGGCGGGGAGGTCTCCTGTTGACAGCTTGAGCAGCTGCAGCAGTTCCTACGATGGGAGCGACCGAGAGGATCACCGGAACGAATTCCACTCCCCCATTGGACTCACCAGACCTTCGCCGGACGAAAGGGAAAGTCCCTCAGTCAAGCGCATGCGGCTCTCTGAAGGATGGGCGACATGATCACATTATTACTTAATAGTTTTTTTTTTTTCTTGCAGTGTGTGTGTGTGCTATACCTTAATGGGGAAGGGGGGTCGATATGCATTATATGTGCCGTGTGTGGAAAAAAAAAAAAACCCGTCAGGTACTCTGTTTTGTAAAAGTACTTTTAAATTGCCTCAGTGATACAGTATAAAGATAAACAGAAATGCTGAGATAAGCTTAGCACTTGAGTTGTACAACAGAACACTTGTACAAAATAGATTTTAAGGCTAACTTCTCTTCACTGTTGTGCTCCTTTGCAAAATGTATGTTACAATAGATAGTGTCATGTTGCAGGGTCAACGTTATTTACATGTAAATAGACAAAAGGAAGCATTTGCCAAAAGCGGCAGATCTTTACTGAAAGAGAGCAGCTGTTATTGCAACATATAGAAAAATGTATAGACGTTTGGACAGACCCGGCAAGGGGTGGCCATTGGTAAATGTTAGGAACATGCCCGGTCACCTACCATCCCGAGGACGCTCACAAACCTGCAGGTATATCATTGGCGTATGGCACTCATTCAAAAGGATCAGAAACCATTCAAAGAGGACCATACCTACTTTAAAAGAAAAGAAAAGAAAAAAAGCAAAAGCAAAAACAAAAACAAAAAAAACAAAAAAACAAAACAAAACAAAAAAAAACAGTGTGGCGTTTGAGAGCTAACGTATTTAATTAAATAAATAAATCTGGGTCTGCATCTCTTATTAAATAAAAAATATAAAAATATGTACATTACATTTTGCTTATTTTCATATAAAAGGTAAGAAAGAGTTTGCAAAGCATTTGTGGCTTTTTGTAGTTTACTTAAGCCAAAATGTGTTTTTTCCCCTCAATAGCTTCGCTAATATTTTAAACAGTCCTGTAAAAACCCACAGAGGACTTTTTGTATAGAAAGCACTACCCTAAGCCATGAGGAACTCCATGCTTTGCTAACCAAGATAACTGTTTTCTCTTTGTAGAAGTTTTGTTTTTGAAATGTGTATTTCTAATTATATAAAATATTAAGAATCTTTTAAAAATCTGTGAAATTAACATGCTTGTGTATAGCTTTCTAATATATATAATATTATGGTAATGGCAGAAGTTTTGTTTTCTTAATAGCGGGAGGGGGGCATATTTGTGCAGTTGCACATTTGAGTAACTATTTTCTTTCTGATTTCTTTTACTCTGCATACATTTTATAAGTTCGAGGTCAGCTGTCAAAAGGATAACCTGTGGGGTTAGAACATATTACATTGCAACATCCTAAATTGTTTTTAAAATGTCAACAAATTTCTGGGTCAACTGACATCCATTGTATATACTAATTGGTTTCTTTCAAACTATTTTTTTTTTTTTGCATTTTATCAAAAGCAGGGCCCCTTTCAGATCTCTCCATTTCACCACGCATCTTGGAATTCAGTAAGTTCATATCCTAACTTGCCCATATTCTAAATTTACATAGTTCATGTTCAGCCTTGAATTTGATGTTTCTTAGAAATATGCCCAGAGTAAGAAGCTGTGTTGGGTCACATGTCCTGCAAGTTGGGCCCTAGGAACAAGAGATGTGAGTTTACTTGGTGGATAAGTTACAGATTTCTGTAGAGGAAAGGTGTGAAAGACCGGGTGCTAGAAAGAAGAGAAACAGCTAAAGGGATAGCTACTTGTCATCCACACTCATGATTC